GTAAGCACCACACAGCCCCTGACTTACAAATGGCAGCAGACTGTGCCCCCCACAGTGGATGGCAACTTTTCCTCCCTCTCTGCTAAGAAGAACTGCAAGGCCCCAGGGACTCAGTTTTGTGCCTGCCATGTAAGCAGCAGCTTGTGCTTGAGTTTGATGACTCTGGTTCTCCCTGGTGTCATTCGCTGCTTCGGATCACAGTGTTAATCACGGCAACTGCCCTTTCTGCAGTAGGTTAAAAAACACCACGACCCAAGAGACCTCTGAATTTTAAGATTCCACTTTTCTGGCTTATTTAATTTACATAATAATTTGTGCAGCACTTGTGTATCCCTTATTTGGTTGTTTAATACTAAACAAAATTTCCGGGCAATTCCCCAAATGCGAGCCCCTCTGCCTGCCTCTGCAGTCCCCATAGCAATAAGGAAAGTAAATGACTGTGGGCTGCCTGCCCAGCATTCAGATAGGTATAAGGCAAATTTTCCGAGCTGCTAAGCAGATTTAGACTCCTTAAACTGTTTGAGGGAACAATATTTCTCCTGTTTTATTAATTATATTAAAATCATGCACAGGATAAATAGTATGGTTTTCTTAATCGTGGAGGACCAAGACAATTTCCTCCATGGGAGGATCTGATGAGCTTCCCGTGTCTAGTCATGCAGAACCACCCTTACACACTCTCATCTGATGTGCACAGGTGTCCTCCTATCCAGCCTGTCCTCTGCCCACCCCAAATTTAGCAAAAGCACATGTTCGCTATCTCTTTATGATATAGTTCTCTCTGTCATGTCCACAGAGACAGGAAGCAGAAATAACCATGCCTTCAGGAGTAAAGTCACACACACACACACACACACACACACCTGAAGCTGAGATGGAGCAATAACAGAAGTAGGAACCATAAATCGTTGCCAATCGCAAAACACTCAGTAATTTTTCCTATCGAGCTGCACCCCCGTAATAGTTAATCAGCCTCTCTGCCATCTGCTACCCCACACAATTCCCTGGCTCCTGCAATGACGAAGCAGTTAATCTGGCTGGGTTTGGAGGAAGGATTCTTGGGTTAAGTTGGCATGGAAGACAAATGGGAGCAGATGTTACAGGCCAAAGGGACCCCTATTAACACACAAGCTGTGGTCAGAAAGGGGCAACCTTTGGCTGAGATGCTGAAGGTGCACATGGGGGATGGGACAGGATGCAATGGGAGAAGCAGGGCAGTGAAGGTTATGATGCATGTTGCTCATTGTAGAGTATCGACTTTGTGATCAACCTATGTTTCCAGCAGCAGATGAATGGATAAAGAAAATATGACCCATATACAAAGGAATATTATTCAAAATTGAATATGTATAGTTGAACACCTTGTTACAGGATTCAGATAACTTTAAAGGGGTCAGGCAAGCAATTTTTTTACTCGGTTCCCTAGTTTGTTCGTGTTCTCAGAAGTGGAACACCATGGGTCTGAGCTACCTCCTAGGCTGACCTGGCATTTTGTTTATTCCTGTCAGTGTAAACACCACTTGTGGTAACTATGAACCAGTTTTATAAATCTCTTACTGTAGAAGGCCGCAACCATACTCTCCACCATAGATGGCGCTGCACCGCCAGGTGAGCTAGAAAGCTCACACGTGTTGGTATTTTTCCACTACTCCCAAGGTATCACCTGGGACTGGGAGCAGTTAACCAATCCAAGAATGACACGTCCAAAGCAGGGTCTGTTTCCTATATAAGGGATGGGTTCCATCTTATCTGGGTCTCCGCCATGTGGCTTATGCTCTAGCTCCCAAGAGGATTAAAGCCATTTCTGCAGAAGGATTCTATGTGTACCGCGTGGTTCTTGCAGGCGAGACGGTAGCGCGGGACATCTGGTGCCATACCCGGGAGGAAGAAGAAGAACTTTGCACCGCCGGAGACCCCTTGGACACAAGGAGGATTCAGAACTGCAGGCATGCGTGCTCAGAGAGGTACGTTCTAAAGTCCAGAGAGCATATCAGAAACTGAGCAGCAGTGGGAGGTTGTGCGCGCACCCAGATAAGTTAAAAAGGACCCCCCGGTAAAGAATGGGGGAGACAGAAAAGAAAATAAGTTAAAAAGGACCCCCCAGTGATTCTAAAAAAGTGAAAATGGGGGAGAAGGCTGATTTACAAGGTCAAAAGCTTTATGTTATGTTGTTCATATTGTCTGTTGTGTACTGGATAGGAGAAAGATATTTAAACTTAGAAACTGCTATGGATGTGATGTTTTGGGAGAGAGGTTCTGTTTTCGCCTCCACGGAGGATGGGAGCCTAAGTATGTGCTTGAGATTCACGTGGTTTGAATCACCGAGACCTCCTGAAATGTTGTAGTGTATACCCCTAAGAATGCAACGGCCCAATTTCAGCAGGAAGCAGCCAAAGAGACTAAACGACGCCCAAATTCCCTAAAAGATTAAATGAGGTCCTTTCAGTGATCGCAGATCTGCAAGCCTGCTTCTCTGAGTTCAGCTTTGCTCCATGCACTGGTTTGGGCTCGGAGTGGGTGCAGCTGGGGCTGGAGGGCGGCTGGAGCAGAGCTTTGCTCTGTGGCTATGGTGGGGAGCACGTTGCGCCGGCTCAATTGGTGCGGCTCGGTTGGTGCCTGGCCTGGAGGATGTCACAGCGGTGCCACAGGCAGCCGGGCCAGAAGGCTTACAATGTACCTAAAACTGTACTGATCTCTGAGGGTAAAATGGCTATGGTTCCATTTGGCTACGCTAAACGATGCTGACTTCAGGCAGGGCTGGTCGTATTTATCATAATAAAAGCGCAATTAAGGTTTAGACGCAGTAAACAGGCAGTACCGTATTACATCTACATAGTGCGACTTAAGTTTTTAAGAACTGCTTAGCATTTTAAGAACTCAAGTCCTCCTAAAAGATTGCTGTGTGTACGCTTGGCTTGTCTGGTGTTTCAGGATCCGTAGGGAGGTGGATGCGAAGGGCCCTTGGATTTTGGGGTGATTGGGTCGTTGGCTGAATCTGTGAGAGTTTACAGCCGCTTTTGCTGTGGCACAGGTGTTGAGAGTTGGCTAGTAGGGAAGCGGCCCTGGTCGCCGCCTCTCCCATCGGCCCCTTGAGCCGCAGCGGCTCTGGCGCGGACCTTGAGATGTTGCCGCCTGTGCTGCCTCGGTCTGAGTGTCGGCTCCCGCCACACTCCCCCACCAACACAGCCGCCGTGGAGAACTAGGCTAGCCCCGCGGGGAAGGCAGGGGCGCCTGGGGGTGGAGCCGCTACTTCCTGGCCTGGGACACGGGGATCCGCGCAGCGAGCAGGCTCAGGGCCGCACACAGCCCTTGGTTCCAGCGGGCGGGCTCTGGAACCCAAGGCCACCGTACCGGCAAGGAATACGGGAGCCAATAAATCTTAAACCTTATATCAACAAACAGGGCCTGGGTTTTTCCTAGGCGCCACTGGGACAACACGGCCTATATCATAAAAAACAAAGACCCTCAATCAGTTATCTACCACAGTGGCTACAGCCCTGGATCAGCAGACTACCATAGATACATCTATTAGAGGTGGAATAATGATTCTTAATTAAATAATTGACCTAGTACAAGAACAGGTGGATAGCTTATGACAGCTTGCCCAATTGGGCTGTAAATGGAAAACTCCAGCCTTATGTGTGACCAGTGTACCATATGAGAACTTTATAAAAGTGGCTAACTTGTCCCGAGAATTGTCTTTGTATCTTGCAGGAGAATTTTGATGATTTGCTGTCCTCCTTGAGATGGTCCATCGTGACAATCAACTCCACGCGAGTGGACATAAGCCTGGCCAAAGAATTCCAGTCCTGGATTGTGTCCTTCATCTCCTACTTCAAAGAATGGGTGGGGGTTGGAATGTTTGAAACAGTCCTATGCTATGGAATAGTGTTTCTCCTCTGGATGGTCTGCTGACTCAAATCCCAAAGCCATAGGGATAAAGTGGTTTTTGCTCAGCGCTGGCTGCCCTGGAACAGGGAGCCTCTTCTGATATGTGGTTATCTATGTTAAAGCAGTAAGGTTTAAGCCAACAAGCTCCTGCACCCCTAGGACTGTGGTCCATTGCACAGGGTGGAGTGCTTGGCTTAGCTAGCCCTGAAGGTTGTGGAGCTGAAAAGCATCGCACAGAGAATGGCCCTCTCTGAGAGATAAGTCGCTCTGCTTAAGGGTTTCCTGCCGTATATTCCCTTTCCCAGAAAATTGGCAGAGGGCAGGCCGGATAGGTTCCAGGTGTCATGAGCCTAGGGACAGATTCCGTGTAAGCCCATTTTAATGTTTTCATTTTGGGAAGTGCGACCTCTATCTTTACCTTCCTAGGGAGTTGCCTTTCTGCAAAGAAGTAAAATTAGGGGGAGATGTAGAAGGCCGCAACCATACTCTCCACCATAGATGGCGCTGCACCGCCAGGTGAGCTAGAAAGCTCACACGTGTTGGTATTTTTCCACTACTCCCAAGGTATCACCTGGGACTGGGAGCAGTTAACCAATCCAAGAATGACACGTCCAAAGCAGGGTCTGTTTCCTATATAAGGGATGGGTTCCATCTTATCTGGGTCTCCGCCATGTGGCTTATGCTCTAGCTCCCAAGAGGATTAAAGCCATTTCTGCAGAAGGATCCTATGTGTACCGCGTGGTTCTTGCAGGCGAGACGGTAGCGCGGGACATCTTACCTCAAGCCAATAATGTCCTGGAAGTCAGAAAACATCCTTCGTTCATCTTAGGTTCCCTAGAGCACTTGGCACCAAGTAAGGGACTTAATCACTGTGGAGGGGGAAGGAAGGTAGGGAGGGATGGAGCCAAAAGAAGACAGAGTAGACCACAAAAGAGAGAAAAAAAGGGAGAGGGGAGAGATGGGATTGAAGCAATAGAGGGGAGGAGTTGGCTAAGTGTGGCCGGGAAAGTTGGGGGCTAGCTAAGACAAAGGCAGGTAGAATGGATTAGATGAAAAAATTTTCAATAAAATACTTACGAACCAAATTTTAGAAAAAATAAGAAAGTTCATTTATCACAAACAAGTCAGCTTTACTTCAAGCATGCAAGGATGGTTCAACACATGTATATCAATATAACTAAACATTTTGTAAGAGGATTCGGATAATTTTAAGGCAGTTAAGATAACTAAAACGCAACACATTATATAGTGGACTCAAAGAACTAAAGGACAGAAATCACATGGATATTTCAATAGATGCAGAAAAAGCTTTTGACAAAATCCAACATCCTTTCAGGATAAAAGTCTTGGAGATACTTAAAAGAGAAGGAACATATTTCTACATGATAAAGGCTATATATGACAAACCTACAGACAACATATTAAATGGGAAGAACTCGAAGCATTCCTATTAAACTCAGGAACAAGATGCAGATATCTATTTCCCCACTTTTTAAATACAGTGTTCGGAGTCTTGGTGTGGGAGTAACTTCCGCTGCCTCAACCAATAGTCGCTGAATCTTGGCTAGAACAGTAGCACAAAAGACACCAATTAAAGATATGCAACTAAGAAAGGACAGAAGTCAAAATATCTCTATTTGCAGATGATAAGGTTCTATATATGAGATCTCAAGACTCTACCAGAAAATTCTTTTAGCTGATTAATATTATAAAGTGATATAAAATTATCATAGACATAAAATTATATAGACATAAAATTATCATAGACAAGTCTGCTGCCCTCCTGTCTACCAATGGCAAACATGCTGAAGAAGAAATGACGGAAGCCGCCCCATGTAGAACAGCCATCATAAATGTGAACTATCTGGGAATAAACCCAATGGAGGAAGAGATGACCTCTATAATGAAGACTTCAAAACACCCAAAAGCAGCCCATTTCTCAAAGAGGAAATTGAAGAAGACATTGAAAGATGGAAAAACCTCTCATGCTCGTGGGTTGGGAGAATCAATATTGTGAAAATGCCATCATACCAGAGGCAGTCTAAAGACTCAATTATACCCCCTTCAAAATGCCAACATCATTTTTCCAAGACACTGAAAAAAATTTTAAAGATTCATTTAGAAATAAAATTCTTAGATAGCCAAGGCAATCCTGAACAGAGAACAATGCTGGAAATAACCCAATTAAAAAATGGGGCACAGAACTGAACGGAGAATTTTCAATAGATGAAGCACAAAAGGCTGAGAAACACTTAAAGACATGTTCAATATCCTTAGTCACTGGGGAAATGCAAATCAAAATGACTTTGAGATTTCATCTTACCCCAGTCAGAATGGTCAAGGCCAATAAAATAAATGACAGCTCATGCTGGTGAGGATGTGGGAAAGAAAAAAACTTAGCCACTGTTGGCAGGAATGCAAGCTTGAACAGATGCTATGGAAATCAGCATGACAGTTTCTCGGGAAGCTGGGAACATATCTACCTCAAGATCCAGCTATACCACTCTTAGGCATGCACCCGAAGACTTTACATCCTACTACAGAGACACTTGCTCACTCATGTTCATTGCTGCTCTATTTGGATTGGTCAGAAATTGGAAATAGCCTAGATGTCCATCAACAGATTCATGGATAATGGAAATGTGGTACATTTACAAAATGGAATATTATATAGCTGTTAAAAAGAAACAATGTTAAAAAAGAATGACATCTTGAAATTTGCATGCAAAAAATGATAAAAAATAATGACATCTTGAAATTTGCATGCAAAAAAATGGTTCTAGAAAAAATCATATTGAGTGAGGTAACCCAGACTGAGAAAGACAAATAGAATATGTACTCACTTATAAGTGGCTTCTAGACATAAAGCAAAAAAACAAAACAAAACAAAAACCTACAGTTCACAACTCCAGACAACCTAGACAGTGAAGAGGACCCTAAGAGAGACATACATGGATCTACACACAGGAAGGAGAAAAAGACAAGATCTCCTGAGTAAATTGGGAGTGTGGGGGTCATGGAGAGGGTAGAAGGGGAGGGGAGGAAAGGAGGGGAGTAGAGAAAAATGTATAGCTCAATAAAAACAATTAAAAAATGAGGCAAGAAAATGAAGCCATGAAATTCATAGATAAATGATAAAGCTAGGGAAAAAAAATCATCCTGAGTGAGATAATCCAGACCTCAAAAGACAAATACTGTGTATATTCTCTTATATGTGGATATTAGTTGGTAAATCTTTGACAAGCAGGCTACAATTTATATAACCACAGAGGTTAGTTATAGGGTAAGAGACTGGGGAGAGGGGAAGCTTTCTCCAGGAGGTGGAAATAGAGTATATCATTATGGGGAGACAGGAGGGGACTGGAAGAGTAGGGTTAAATAGGATGGGGAGGAGGAAAGGGAGTAAGAGAGGGAATACAGGGAGGAGCAGTCAACACTAAGGGCCATTTGGGGAGTCATATGGAAACCTACTACTGTCGAAGCTTCTTAAAATATATACATAGATCAAAGAAATCTAAGTGGAGTCACCAAATAATGGCGGAGACAAAGGTTCAACTAGAGAACCAAGTGAAACTACCAGTGCCATGAATGGGTTACCTCTAATTGATTTTTGGCAAAAGGGGATCTGTGGCACCCCCAAATAACTCAGGCACTTCCAAGGCTATTGGTTGCTTTCCTCCAATGGATGATAGGGTCGTATTGACAGAGACAACACATATCTCATTGAACAGGGAGAAGTCAAGCTGATGCCTACCTAGAGCCTTCATTCCTACTACTAGTGTTCATGGTACTGAAGACTCTCTGCGTGCTATCAGGGGAGAAGAGTAAACACCAACCCGCTACAAACCCTGAAATCTACAACGTTAACCTGCCAGCATGATAGACAGGTGCTATAGTGGCACAAAGACAGGAGTAACCAAGCACTACCTGATTAGATCTAAAGCCCTCTCCATGCAATGGAACCCATTTGAATGGAGCCCTGACACTGCTCAGGCAGTCAAGAACCTGAAACTAAATAGGTCATGGGCCTAAGGGGATAAATAAACACTATCATTCTGCTAAAGGAACAGGACAATAACAATGACTCCTAATGACATTCTGCTGTACTCACAGATCAGCATCTTGCTAGGATATCTCCCGAGATGTTTCCACTTGCAGTAAATGGGAACTGATACAGGGACACTGGATAATGTGTAGAGAATGAGAGACTTTGGAACACTCAGTCCTAAATGGGATGCCTCCATCGAACCCCTCCCCTCAGGCTTCAAGGAACTGTGTGGAAGAGGAAGTGGAGAAGTTGTAAAAGCCAGAGAAGACAGAGGACACCAAGGAAACAGTGTCATTCAAACACAACAGGATGGGCACAACCATGGACTCCCAGAGTCTGCGGCAACAGTCACAGGGCCGGCACAGATTCAAGTCAGATGAGGTCCCAGGACTAAGAGAAGAAAGTGGATTTGAGCTCACATTTCTAACCAAGAATCTATCTCTAACTGACATCTGCTTGCAAAAATTTAGTTCTTTCCAATGGAGTCTCACTGGGTGTACTAACCAGGTTTAAGGGAGGCCCATGCCTGAAGTAGAGGATTAACACAGGACGAACTCAAGGATATTCTTGGAGGTTCTTTCATCTTCTATTGCTTTGTTTGGGTAATTTTTATCTTACTGGTCTCTTGCTTGTATGTTATGGTTTCCAATTTTGTGTTTTTTGGGTTTCTGTGTGTGTCTGTGTTTCTTGTGCATTTTCTGTTTTTTTCTTGCCTGTTTGTTTTTTAGAAAAAGAGGAGGGGTATGTAGTTGGATGGGTAGGAAGAGGAGCTAGGAAAGTTGGGGAGAAGAAATCATGGTTAGAGTATGTTATATGGAAAAATTATTTTCAAAAAAGAAAAAAGAAAATGAATGGGAGGTCTTTTCTATTCATATGTATGATAGAGGATTAGTATCTAAAATGGGCAAAGGGATAAAAACATTAAACAATTAGGAAATAACCCAATTTAAAATATGGCTGAGGAGCTATACAAGTGCTCAAAAGAAGAAATAAAAATGATCAATAAGATATTTACAAAAATGCTCAACATCCCTATCTGGGAAATATCAACTAAGTCTATTCTGAGATTTCACCTCACCCCTGTCAGAATGATTGTCACCAGGACAACAAATGACAACTAATACTGGTGAGGATGGGGGGACAACGGGCATTATTCCCTGCCGGTAGGAATACAGTGAGGTGCTACCATCATGTATTTCAGTGGAGGACATTTCTCTAATAATCTAGAAATAGAACGTCCATAGAACCCAGCCATACTACCCATGGGCATCTATTCAGAAGATTTTGCCTTCTACTGAAGAGACAACTTGCTCTCTTCACAATAGCAAGAAAATGGGAATGATCCGAGATGTTCTTCAACAGGTGAATGAATCATAAGAACAGAGCACATACACACAGTGAAATTTTATTTAACCATAAAGAAATTGGGATTATGCAATTCTCAGGAAAATGGAAAGAATTAGAAGATATTATCTTAAGGAGGTAGCCCAGGCTTAGAAAGACAAACACCATATGTTCTCTCTTATACACTTCTCAGCTTCTATATTTTATACATGTGTATCTCCATAGGTTCAAGGGAAGGCAGATGCCAGGAGACTAGAAAGGGGTCTGTGTCAGGGTCATACTTCCTCTAAGCTTTCTAGGCTGTATTTAGAACTACTGTAGGATCCCAGGTTTCCCCCTTGGTCCTTGAGGCACAAATTGCAAGGACTGTTTATATTAGCCAGCCAAGCTTCTTGCTAATTTCTGTGCTAGCTCCGCTTTTAGCCTGGTGATCTAGCTTTGTTAAACCTTTGGAATGGTAATTTCCCACCTGTCCAGAGGAGTTCCCACGGTGCCTAATCCCCTCTCAACTTTCTGTCGCTGCCCTCCGCCCACCACCCCCTGCCTGGGAGAAATTTCTCACACAGTGTCAGGTTCTTCACTCCTGGCTTCCCTGTCTGGCAGGGAGGGGATCTCTTTTACTGGGGCAAAAGTATATTAACCTTGCAGAAAGCTAAATAAAATTGGCATTCGGCTCTTGACGAATGACCCAGGTCTCTTTGTGTGTGTGTCTTTTGTTTAATCCCCAGGCCTTCGCCCTAACTCGTGGTAGGTACAGAAGACGCGCAAACCTTATCGGGAGAGGGAGGCGCAGATTCAGGTGGAACAAACTACCAGAGTCCTGAGAGTTTAGATTAGCATCTGATTATGTGTGAGAAATTTTACAGTTCTAATTCTGCTGTAGGAGTTGCTGTTCACATTCACTTCCTGATGTCGTTCCTCTTCTGAATGCTGATGCTCCTACAGATTGGGCCATCCTGGCTTTATCCATTTTTCCACATTAAAAAATAATTACAGAAATAAAAAGAGATTGAATCTACATGTTCATCATGCTGAGGAAACACATGGTTGTACCCAACCCTTCAAAAATGTCCAGGACATTACAATGCCCTAAGTGGCATTCACGTGTTGGTAGCGACTAAGAGCTGTCTAATTGGGCTGAAGGCCCATCCAACAGGAGACAAATCACACCTGGTTCTAGAAACCCAGCCAGCTTCTCAGGGCTAGTGAGGTCATGACTCCTAGAGGAGTCTACTATCAGTGCTTCGCTAGACCAGGATAATTCCTTATTCCATTCTCAGTCTTATCCTTACACCCACAGATAAGTCTAGCTACCACCCCCCATCAGAGAACCTTGTCTTTACAGCAAGCGGAGACAATCACAGAAAACCACAGCTGGACACAATTCCATGATCAACAGGCCAATGGGAACCCAGCCTCAGCTGTTTTATCTACATCACTGCTCCCGCATCTCTGGCGCAGGAAACATCAAGGAAGAGGGGCAGAAAGACTGTGAGAGTTGGAAGGTCAGAAAGTCTGCTAGGAAAGAGCCTGTCGGGGAAACAGTTGTGCAAACAAGCCTGGAACATGCTAACATAGAGGGGGGAAATTTCATGGGGTCCCACCCCTAGATAAAGAATTATAGGCAACTAATGACTGCTGGGAGTAGGAGAATTAGCCTTTCCCAGGGTTGAGCCTCTTTACTGAAGAACAGTCAACCTTAAGAAACCATATACACACCACCAACAAATGGACTTTGCAGGTCATATTTATATTTATTCAAGCATACATACGTGCACATACAAACACGGATGTAACAGTGATAGTCAAAGAAGAAGAGGAAACATGGAAATACGCTGACCCCTTGTGGGGTTTGAAAAGTATTGGCCCTCTCTGCTGCCCATCATTTGAGTAAGATGCTGTTATATATGTGGGAAAAGCCTCCATTAGAACCATCTCCTATGTACCTTTTCTATCAATGCTCACATCTGTCTAAGGGAGGCCCTCTGCACAGAATTAGCTGGCATTTGTATGCAATGGGTGCTGATGGGTTGGGAGTGGGTTGCCCTTTTCCGACTTTCCTGGTAGAGCCAGGGCGCTGTCCACCCGGACCCTGGTGTCAGGACCAAGCAGCCAGCAAAGCAGGTGGCTTACCTCCTTTTCTTCTTCCGCAGAAAGAGAACTTGGGCAGATCCTCCTCACAGATGGGATAGGAGAAGTTCAGAACAGAAGATCCTCCCGAGACAAGAGCCATGTCCAGAAACAGCTTGCTGATGTCCTCTCCTATAGACAAGCACAACTTCAGCGCTGTTTGTCTGCTCTGCAAGGTCACTCAAGGCTCAACAGCACTGTCTCAACGGCCTTCGGAGCCTGCAGCCTGATGCAAGCAAGGAATGAGGGGCGCATCTCTTCTCGACAGAGCAGCATTTCTACCTTAAGTTTTACTTAAGGTGGCTCATTGGCTACACTCCCTTCCTGTTGCTCAGTGCTCTGTCCATCAGTGGAATGTCTGTAAGTTTGGCTTTTAGAGTTCCTTAGTTCCATAGTGTTATTAGCTTCCATGCTAGCAGGGCATGGTTGAGTCTGCATATTCCCACTACTGTTGCCTGGTAGATGCTGCTCATGGCTTCCAAGAGAATGTCAGGGAGCTCCATTGGCAGTTTTCATTTCTTTCTGGTCCCCTTTCCCACTCGTTTCTTTTGTCTTTTACTCATTTCCCCCCCTCTTGGTTTCCCTGCCCATAGCATTTCTCCACATGCTATGAGACCCAAGATTGCATAGAGTTCTAGAAAGATTCAGTCACGTGAGAATTCTTGGTCTTTGAGAATGATCCTAGATTCTTGGTTACTGAATGCTTCTGCTCTGTTTTGAGAAAACTGGTCTTATAAAAGCAGGGATACTTTAGTAACTGTGGCAAACATACTGGTTTACTCTAATGGCGTGGCCAAGCAAGAAATGACCAGGAAGTGTGTGCTCTCACAGTCTAGGGTAGGAAGAAAGACCCCCCCTTTTAAGTTTTTGCCAAATTGTAAAAACTTCCATTATTGTTTGGGAAGCAAAATAATGTGAGTGACAAATCATGCTGCTATGGGGTGGAGCAGGTCTGTTTGTGGCAGAAGTAATATGGGAACCTTCTGTCTGTGTAGCCACAAGACAATCGCTTCTTTGCTGACAGTGTTGAAATGAGCACCAAGAGTCTCTTTAATACCACAGCACAGCATTCCACGACCCTGAGGATTAACTAGAGAGGGGATGTGAGAGATGAAGGCGGGATAATGGTGCAGCCTGCTGTGCTATCAACGTCAATCATTGTGTGTGCAGGGGAGGAGGCTCTGCTATGCTTAGTGTTGAGGTCTACTTACTCAGAATGATGCCAAATCGAATGTTGAGGGATGGTTGGACATGCCTGGAACACTGGTCAATGGAAAGGCCAAAATCCTGTAAGGGATCTGCCAAAGAGAACACCAAGAGATTAGTTATGAGCTCACTGCAAACTCATCAGCGAATCTGCACTAATGATTTTCACAGGACTCACTGGAGCGTCCCACACTTAAAAATGCCTGTAACATTCCAGCAGCTCCCCCCAGCCTGTCCACAGTCACTGTTATGTTCATGCTGATGACATGTGTCAGTCCACAGATGACTAGTTGATTACTTACATTTTTCATCATTGCTTAAGTTCTTTCATTCCCTGACCTTCATCTTGCTGACAGAAGATGTATGTAGGTACTCACTTAAGATGTACCTTTACAATTCTGCTTTATCTTAGGCTATCCCATCCCATCCAACAGAATCCCTCCCCTCAATGTTCTGCTCTGTGCAAGGCATTATGCTAAACAGTCAGGAGCTAAAGATAATGTATTTTACATATAACTTTTGCTTATTTAAACAGCTCTTTATGAACCAGAATAAGGAGCAAAAAGAGCCTACTGCCCCCCACCCAAGCCACACTTTACATCCTGAGGCCTTTTGTGGACTTGAGGCCAGGTGGCAACACACACACACACACACACACACACACACACACACACACGCATATATAGTACAAATCTCTAGCCCTCTGATTTGCTTGTATACTTTCACTCATTTCAAAAGCATCTTGCTAATTCTCACTTTTTGCGAAGGCTTCCTCATTGTCTTGAAAATTGCCTTTTGCTTTTCTGAATTCCTAAACCCTGTTGTGTCTGACAAACTCTTTAAGCTGTGTAAATATGTCTAGTCATCCTTCATTATCTATTCCAGGACTGCCCCTCCCCCTGGAGTCTATGGATACCAAAATCAATAGACGCTAAAGTTCTTGATATAAGTCATCATATTTTCATAGGACCTATGGAATCCTCCTGTGTATATATTCATTGTTTTCTTAAAGTGTGTGCGTGAGTGCCTACACGTATGTATGTGTACCACATACGTACCCGTGGAGGTTACGAAAAGGAGTTGGATCCTCTGGAACTGGAGTTTTCAGAGAGTTGTGAGCTGCCATGTGGGTGCGGGAAACCAAAAGCAGGTTCTGTGCAAACCCCTTTAACTAATGAGTCAGTCATGTCTTCAGTCACCCCCCTGCCCACCAGATATTTTAAATCATTCCTAGGGGACTTACAATAGTTGTAAGTGTGATGCAATCGTGTGGCACAAGGCAAAGGCGGTGTGACGCATTGTTCTCCTGCTTAGCTGGAGAAGCACAGGAAGTACTTTGTACACGCTCAGTGTACTCATATTTATATACATTAGATCTGGGTTTGGCTGAATCTGAGGCTATGGTAACTGTACAATAGGAACCCAACTTGGTGATTTGCTCTGTGCCTTGACCCTACAGCCCTTAATGTAAACTCGACCCCTGTAAGGCAGGAACTATTTCTGTGGTCGTTTACTTTTCACTTGCTTTCCCACTCTGCTTCTCACTGTGACTAAGGGAGGAAAGCCACCTTGAGCTGAGAACTTCTTAGGAAATTTCAGTCTATGTTTCCAGCCTCTCCATTACTCCGCTCATCTGGCAGATAGGTACCCCACAAATGCACATAATACAAACGAGTATGGGTCATCGCTTCAGTTATCCACACCCCAGCTCCAGATCCAGCCTTTGTACTTTGCCTTGTGAGGCTCTCCTCTGCCATCACCCCTCTGTATGTTGTGTGCAGTCAGGGCACCAGAGCGAAATGGAGGCTGCTGCCAGGGGCTGGCCTTGCTTTTCATCAGGTTTCAGTGGTACTTGGTTCCAATATATGCTTCTCTGGCACCTTCTGAAGCCAGCCAGGCTCAGTCCTGTGTGTTCCCAGACCGCTGGAAAATAGTGTCTCAGAAACGGTCACCCTTTCCCCCGACTCAGGCCACAAGGTCTGAGCGCCCAAGTTTTCATCCCACTACCTTTTGCCCTTTGCTTCTCCAGTCTTCAAGGAGGCAACTCCTCTTCACCCTCATTTTGCTGTTTTGGTCTGTCTAATTTTTCAATTCAATCAGTGAATTCCCTATATTAAATTATTTATATTACATTGAATTGATTGGTTATTACTTCTATAGGATCCAGACTGGTAGAATAAGGAACAATCTGAGAAGTGGGTGTGGCTTTCCTCCTTCCACAGATTGCAGCATATAGACTCAGAAATGTTCTACCCACTTAACTGGATCCCGACATAGAAAGCGTTGAGTCAAGAGGTAAACTCAGCGTTAACAGAAGTACAAACAAACCCACGTTGCTGCGAAATAAGTATTGTGCATTGCACTCAATAAGTCAATCCGAGGAAATGTATGTTAATTTCATTCTTAGAGTTGCCTGGGATATGTTCTATGCAGGTACATGGCGTTGGGTAATCCAACCGCATACCTGCTTCCACTGTGGGTTTCTGGGTGATGATGCAGACAGTGCTGTTACCATCCACACACTGACCTGAGAATAGCATCGTTGTCTGTGATGCTTGTGATGGAAATGGGCCTATGCGATCCCAGCCTGGCAGAGCTAACGCAGGCACCCTCTCATCAAACTCTTTTTGGTTTGCTTTCTAATTCTCTGAGGGGAAAATGCCCCTCTTTTCTCATGCTTACTTGACTTCTTCCTCAACATTTTCTTTTTTTTAAATTTTTTTTTATGATTTATTTGTCTTTATTTTATGTGCATTGGTATGAAGGTGTCAGATCCCCTGGGACTGGATTTTCAGACAGTCGTGAGCTGCCATGTGGGTGCTGAGAATTGAACCCGGGTCCTCTGGAAGAGCCGTCAGTGCTCTTAACCATTGAGCCATTTCTCCAGCCCCTTCCTCAACATTTTCATGCCGTCTCAGGACTTTTTTTCAGATTGGAAAATGGTGGGGAGGGAAGAACCAATTGCTCTGGCTACACACTTCACACTCAGTATGGGAAACAACAGAGGTTGTCTAAACAACAGACGTTTAGGAAAGCGCACCCTGAAATTGTGTGTTAATTTAAATTGCCATCCAAGGCACAATGAAAAAGAGGCATATGTATTGTTCAGTTCGCAGTTACAGAATTCCAGGGAGAGCTTATCAATATTTTAAAGATATGCGTAGGATAACTGAAAGGAGGAGAAAGAAATAAAGCCTTTTCCTGGAATTAGAAAAATAATTTTAATAAGACACAAAGTAACAAAGGGATCAGCAGGCTGCTTGTCTCCTCTCTCTATGGAAATGTATAGGGAAACAAAAATTATTTTAAAAGTACTTAGGGATTTTCTGAGCATCCCTGGCAATTTTCTCAAGCTTATATGCAAGAGTGATGTCTTTGGATATAAGTACGCAGTCTACAAACCTCTAGGAAAAGGTGACGTCACTTCCTTCAGTCCCACTCTGCGTTAATACCCTGTACATTCTTATGGAAACATTTGGGCACGGAGCATGCTCTGTGTTGTGTATACTGCACACCCTGCCATCTCTCTACCAGACATGGGCTCCCAGAACTGGGGGTGCCACGTCATATGATACTAGCACCTATTGAAAGAAGGGATATTGAAGGTTATTTGGAATGCCATTGACAACCTTAAAGCTTAGCCTCATGATTCTTGATGTTTAGTCTTACATAATCTTTTGTGTACCACAGGATGGCAGTCAGCATCTCCAGTTGCTCTCCATGTGATAAAGCATCCCTGTGACAACTCGCAATGTGACAGAAACTGCTGAACCCCCGCTCCCATCCCACCCCACCCCACCCCACAAGGTACTAACTTACCCCTAGTGAAGTAGTACTGACTAAAAGAATTACTTTCTTCTAAAAAGGGGCCTTTGTGGGGTAAGTGAAGGGAGTGGGGATAGGAGATTATAGATGAAGCGGAGGACGTGAGGTGGAGTCCTAGGGGCCGGAAGATTTAAGCAGGTAGTATGGGGGAAACCTAGGTGAAAGGGAGGACTAACCCTAAGGAAGGGGTGTGAAAAGCCATGGAGAAGCCTACTGTCTCACAACTCAACTTAAAAAGATTAAGTGGACAGAGAGTGGAACACATATGCAAAGAAAGAAGAGGGGAAATGCTGAGGGTTAAGGCATTAAACGGGGATGGAGGAGATGGTGAGAAAGAGGAGGGAGAATAGGTGGGTTAACCAAAAATAAAGCAAAAAACAAGACAAAACCAAAACAACAACAACAACAACCCCTCAAAACAAAGCTAAGGATGTATGAAAAATCCCCATAGAAACCACTAGTTAGGAAGATAATTTCAAAGTACAACTTAACACTACAAGTTCAAGCAGAACTACTCTGCCCTGGTGGACAATGCTCCTCTAGAGAAGTGTAGATTTCAGTGTAAGGTATGGAAAAAGCTCCTTAGAAATGGTTGATTAGGGAAACCGCAGAGGCCTCCCAGACAACACAGGCCGATGCCCTTGCTTATCCATTTTATCCACCTGGTAGGACCCCGACTGCTGCTGCTATCACACACTTGTTGCAAGTCATAGAGAAATCAGCCCCAAACTGACCAGGAAGCACCCTTCCCGCTGGCTAGCTTTTGTAGTCCTGGAGAGTACCAGAGAGGCTGATGGAGAGAAAAGACATTGGTGTCTTACCTATTGCTGGAGTCCACACTGCAATACTGACCTGCCAGGTAAGCTGTGCTTACTGGGTTAAGAGCGACATGACTGTAATGGGGGAACTAACCACTTTCTGATTGGATTTGAAGGCTGGCCCACCGGGAAGAATTTCAGGCTTGGTCCTGTATTCCTTGTCAAAAGCCTGTGGCTGAGGAGATCATAGACCATGGTGCAGATCCAATTCTTAGTATTTCCCACCCCAAAACCTAGGCTGCTCTCAACCCGGAGAGCTTTGTTCTGCAGTGACACTGCACTGTTAGGTTTCCCGTGCTCCAGTGGATGGCCCACACAGCATCTATCTGACTCATGAAGGCCAATGGTATCATATTCTTCATTCTATGAATGAACTATGAATGACTATGATATCATGTCTTCATTCTGGCATGTTTGTGGTTCAGAGTTACAGAAGCCAGTGGGGCTTA